CTTTGAGCGCTCATCAAGACCAGAGCAGCTCAGTGTAAATAAACACCTTTTTATCATTTGCTGTTGGTTTGATTTTCTCTAACCTGTCTCGGTCATTTTTTTACTGCAAAATGAGCCTGGATGTGTGATAAATCACTCCACCACATCTCTGCTGCCATTCCCGCACCAACAGTCAACACCTGTAAACACTTTGTGATTATATTTCATCTGGACTGTGTCGTAATGAAGCATGTCCTCACATTCTGTTTGGTTTATGACACAAATGTTTTGTTTCAAATTTTGTTTGAAGAAGCTAACAGGTGGACAAATTAATTTTGATAGATTTGAAGAGAAAAAAGTACAGCATATATATATATAAATTTATATATATATATATATATACATATATACATATACACATATACACATACTGTATATATGTGTGCATGTATATGTGTTAAAAGACAGCTGTGACAGTAATTATATTAGACGTTTGTCCATATATACAACTTCAAAAATAGCCACGAACGACAAACATTTATAAACGTGTACAACGTTCCATGTGCCAAGCTCATGCAGCCATTAAACCTAAAATGCTCTCACAGGTCTAATCTGTTGTAATCTAATCCCACCAGGGACACAACACAACACTCACAGCACAGTATTGCTCTTGTCCATCTTGGCCCTAAAACTTATGGGCCTGAACTGAGCTTCTGTGTGTTTTTTACCTCTGGCTCAATTAGCGTACACAAAATAAAGCAAAGCATAATCATTGGTGATGCTCTAATGGGTGTCTGATTGGCAGCTGGCCTATCCAATAACAGCCTAGTCTCAGGTGTTGGCGTCCTCAGTCACTGACATTACCCCAGTGTGTGTCAATTAGTACCTATTAGAATGGCCTTCTAGCGCCCTCTGCATAGAAAACACACTACTACAGTATGTCACCATGATGCTACAAAAAACATTTGATCTCAGATTGTCATTTATACCATGTCATTTCATTAATATGAATAAATAATAAATATCTAATATACAGTACTTCTGTACTTCTTTGAATGAAAACAAAGGGGATAAACATAGACATGTTTTTTATAGTTAAATATGTTTTGAATGTACTGGTCCTGCCCACTTGACTTGACTTGTCTAATTAGGTTGTATGCGGCCCATGAACCAAAATGAGTTTGACACCTCGTTCTAGAGGAACTTGTTCCTTTAAGACTGTAGTTCAGTTTTGTTAGGAAGTCAAAGACGGGCTCGTGTATTCTGTTAACAATGTCCCTTGCAAAAGACCATCAGTCCTTTCTGATTTATGGGGTTTTAAAGTATTGCGACTGATTTATGGCCCACAGAGAAACATAAACCCCTGAGGCAGCACCTTCACCAAGAAAAGGCAGCTGAAAATCTTTGTAAAATAGAACATGCTGTGGCGCAGACAGAATATGGGAGCAGAAACGAGTCCCAATGCTCTCCTAATGTTGACTCATGGTAGAGCAACACAAACACACTCACTCTCTGCAGGAAAACGCGCACAGGCGCCGTCCAATCAGATCCAGGCAGGATCACAGTGATCCACTGTCCACACAGTCTCTGCTCGCTCATTTCAAATGCACTGGCAGACACTTCATATAGAAAATAACCACGTAAATAAACGCAGTGGGAGAAATTCCTCTGCTGCTGCTGCTGAGGAAGCATGTGTCTCTCTTACCTTGGCCATGTTTGGAGGACAACATGATGTGTTTGATGACAGAGGGACAGAAAATAATGGGATCTCATTATGGGTTTAATGTGTTTCAGCTGATTATAAAATATAAAAATAAAATGCAGGTATGTAAAAAATTGCACCAAAACAATCAGTTTCAACTGATTCTTCAGATACAAGCGTTTTATCTTGCAGTCACTTCGACTCCCTGAATTCCTCTTCAGACAGATGTTCTGTCCATCAGATTTATATCTAGCTGAGGACACGTGACAAAATCTTTTAGCAGATTTTACCCATGATTCCAATGAATGTTGCTGAACTTTTGGAGCTAAATCTAGATGCAACCAGTATATAGTATAATATAATATAGTAGTATAATAGTAGTCATAATGTTAATGCTAACTGGTTACAGACCTAACTGCAAACAGGGGTTTGGGAATTAGCCAACAAGCAATGAAAAGAGAGGGTGGGACTCAGAGTAACATCAGAAGACAACAGATGGAGATGAGACTAATAGAGCTGTGGCATGATCTCCAGTGTTTAGGAAATGTTGGTCACAGTGTATATTTTGTGAATTGGTGCCAGACTTTGATGGTTTCAGTTTAGCATTCGCTGGTTTGAATCCTACTCTCTTAAAACAAAACAGAACAGAAATCAGTCTATTAGATGTGACTCCGGGCCTTTTCCAAACCTTAAGACTGCAAGTTGTGTAGCGTGTCTTTAGCTTTAGTACAAATCCCTTCCTAGCCCATCAGCGATACTAGACAATTACGCCTTGTTATTTTGCAAGCAAGCAGAGAAAGTACTCGTACTCATCATACCCAGGAGCATACTTTGGGTTTCAGACGTGATCATTTACAGCATTACAGCTGTTGGACAGTGTAAATTGGGAATTGAATAATTGACAGGAGGCAAACTTGTTAGTATTATTTCACTTGATTAGACTATTTTGCAATTTTTGTCTTACTTCCAGATGATCAGTCAAGTCTTATTTCTGCCGGACTAACGTATTTACAGGTTTTCAACAGGACAAATACTCTCGCTTTGGTAATAGAAAAATACCAACTATAATATTTCACCAGCGAATCTCTCTTTCTGGGTCAGACATTTACCATAAACTGAAATACTTGTAAACTGCCTGTGTGACATAGGCAACATTTAGACAGGTTATTCTAGACATAATATGCAATGTTAACACAGTTTGCTAAAAAACTAAAGTACCAGTGTGTTTTTTTCCTGTCCGTCTGCAGCTGCTGATTCTCAGGTACACTGTGACTCATTTGTTCAAATACTGTCAGCAAACACAACATCTAAAATTGGCCGAACATCCTGAGTTTAGTGAGCAACAGAAGGAAGCTGTGGTGGAGCGAGGTACAAAATGAATCAAGAGAGAGAGAAAGCAGAAATAACAGGAACTTATTGTTGGAAATTGCAGAAAAAAAAATCATATTCAGACATGTAATTTGGTAAAAGGAATGTATCTATATATCCCAGCAGATTAGAATCTCTACACTGGCATGTTTACTGAGCATTTCTAATCTGATTAAGATCCTTCAGATTATTCGTGACCATTTTTCTGAGAAACCAAGTCAATTTGTTTTGTAGACAAGCATCATGGACTTACACTCTGTTTTGGATGACGGTCCATCCTCTCCTGAGCGTCTGGGTCGATCATAGGCGAATCCCAAACACACACCAGAGCCAAAGAGGACTGACAACATCCACACTACCTGGAGAAACAACACAAACAGCAAAGTGGTAACAGAAGTCAACACAAGGAATTTAAGGAAGTGCTACCCACTGGACAATTTTGACTTTTTGACCTTTCAGTTAGAACAGGTGAAACAACAGGTGTGTAACAACACTACAAAATAACTACATTATTACTCTTTTAGTGAGAGTAATGAAGTAGTAGAAAAGTAGTGGAACATACTTTTCCACTACACCTTTCCTTACAAAGAATAAGACAAGAAAAAGCCCTAAAATGCAAGTGGAGGTGCAGGTGTTCCTCATATAAAGTAACTCTTCATCTTATCATTTTAGTAGGTTCACATCTTGCATGAATAATAAGAGGTCATTGTAAATTTTAGACTGTGCAGCCGTTTGCTTCCACACACCAACACCTTATTATTGTTATTACTGGACAGACTACAGTCAAAACGCCTGATGTTCAACTACATATTTAACGGCTGTTAGTGCACCGTCCACAAAGTCAGGGTGAAATGGATTTATCATTGAAACATTAGAAGCTCAGATGTTGACACTTGAACAAAGCTCATATTCATAGAAGGTGAAGCTCCTGGTGACTGCTCCTCTACACAGTTGGGACAACAGGACCACCCGCATCCGCGTAACAATATCCCGACCCCGCGTGACGGATGAATTGAAAGTGACTGACGGAGCTGATATTGTCCTGTAAATGTTTTACAGCAGGGAGGGCAGCTAAGATAGGTCAATAAGCAGCTACTCTGAGAGGGAAAACAACTTAAACACCACGAATGTGCCGCTAAGATCCACTCGAACCGCGCATCCACACGGTTAAATTACGCACGGGCTTTACGCACGGAGTCTGAAGAAAGGCTGCAGAGTTGGACTCTTACCGTACCAGTTTGTGGAGCAACATGTTCCTGAGTCTCCTGCTTCTGACTGCGGTCTCGTGCTGAATCTGTGAAGATCTGAAGGTTGGAGAAAGAGAGGGAGAGCGAAAGAGAGAGTTGGGGGGAGGAAGGGGTGATGCTGACTGAGGAAGTGCAAGACCACCAGAGAGGAGGGCCGTTGGAGAACATGGGGGGTTGTTCTTACGTGGAGTGGCCCCGGAGGAGGGTTTAAAGTCAGGATGTGAGATTAAGTGAGAAAAAAAGGAGGAGAGAAATGCAACAGGGATGACTTCAAATGAGTAATCTGCTAATTCACACCAGTCCTGGGATTTAAGGAATTTAGGACTGGGAGGTTAATTTAGGTGAAGACGAACATAACCATTATATTTGTAACATCAATGTCAAAATGACAAACTTGATGTGGTAAAATCAAAAAGTTATTTTAAATGTTGTGTAATTTTCGTGGGAGGTTGTGTGCCAAAAGAGGGCCACGAGAGTTTACTGGGTCACAATCTACATACACTATTTTATACCAAATTGGCCATTTCAGCAGCAATATAGATATATTTCAGCTGTTTTGTCGAGAGGGTAGGAAAGGTCAAAGAATAACATTCATGTCTCCCAAAAAATGTTGTCAACTGCAGATGATGTCATCTGTCATGCAAATATCCTAGATTTTCATGACAGATATTCCTAATCCAAGGACTGGAAGGACAAGGTGTAAATACAAGTAAATCATTTTTTTTATTGGCTTAAAAAATTACTATGTAGAAAAAATATTACCACTGTGCACCTACTGCAACCAAAACTGTCAGCACATCATGACAAGACCACAGCGGCAGATCCACAACTGTGTACATGGGTACAAAACTGGAGAACTGAGAAAAGAAGTGATGATGAAGATGAAGGCAGGATATATAAAAAGTTGAATCCTATCAATAACAGTTTCTACTCCAGCTGGCATTTTTCATATTTCAGAAAACCACCTAATCATAGCCAGGGTAAGAGAGCCAGAGTAAACTCAGCTGAACTGCCTGACGAGGTTGGATTTGATATTATCCAAACATCTAAGAACACAAAAAATCTTTAATTAATAATGACAAATTGAAAACAAAAATATAGAAAAGACAAAAGTGAGCTGAAATCGTTGAGAACAGTAAAAACAAAATCCTGATTAGTGATTCTCTGTAAAGACACAGGGGAAATGTCCAGTCCTGTCCAATCCAGGCAGGATGGTAACCCACTCCACTAACTTCCTGGCTTCCCCTCAGTAGCCACTCACTGAATGCCGTGATTGAGATGTGGGGATGAGGTGCACCAGAGTGGTGACTGTGCTGTGGGGCTGTGGAGGTGGGTCGTATGAAGTGGGGGACAACTTTATTTGACTGTCTGAGGAAAAACAATCATGTGGCTGTAGGCAGGGGACAGCATTAAAACACCAAAGACCGTCTCTGTTACTTTTCACTGGTGATGTTCTGGTAAATGACACCAGGCTTGTTTATGTACATCATCTTGTTCCTCAGCCAATGACATGAAACTGGAAAACGGTCAGCTTGGCAAGGTCATTGAACTGGTTCTTTCTAAAAACTAATCTTTAGAACAGAAAACTGCCTTTTTAAGTGTTTTTGTTAACATTGCATAGATGTTCACTGTCATTTGGTTCTATCCCAACAAGGAAATTTGTTTTGGAAAAGGTCAATAAACCTGTGCTAGATCGTTTGCACAAATGCCTTTCATTAGACTGTTGATACAAACTGGAATTAAGGCCAACAACAACATTTCTGCATGTCCACACTAAAAACCCTGTTTGATGTCTAAGACTGTCTAAAGTAGTTACAACTGTGTCCAACAGAGGGCACTTTTAAGCGCAGGTTGGACTTAAGGGCCTTCTTCAGTCCATCAGTAACAATACAGTATATGGTGATGCAGAGTTGGAGGGAGGGGTAGGTGAGGTTATATAACATATATGTCTGCCTGTGAATAATCAGTTGCAATCAAGTATTGACTTAAAGGAAGTGATGCATTCTTTAACTAGGTCATTAAAACAAAATCACAAAAGAGTTACAAATTAACATAATTTTCACTACCAGTCTGGCTTATGGTACCTAAGGTGGCGGGCATGGGGTTATTGCAGGGGAAAGGCAGCAGTTAAAATTACTTTAATTTTAATTTTTTTTAACTGCGTCACTGTAGGAAAACTTATCTTTTCTGTGGGAAAATGTCCAATTTTAGGTATTGCAGTGCTTTAAATTAATTCAAAAAGGTTTTGAAGCAATAGCTGTGAAAATGACAAAAGGGGGCTATGTCGGGAGCAGAGGCCCCAACAATAGTACTGCCTACAAAAGTAGGGCGTTCCAACACTATGGACATGAAATGCAGCATTATACTTTACCATTGTTCTTTACTTGTATGGTATTCCTGTTTGAAAACATCTGTTCCAAATGTTTGGTCTCATGTTCTTGACCACAGCTTTTATTATTCTAATGTGTTAGCATTCGTCCTCTGGTTTTAATACAGTCCAAACGACTCCACACCGTATTCTGTGCATCCTTGAATACTTTGCAGAATGGTGCGCACAGAGATGTGTTCTAGCTCTACTCCTCACATCATCCTCATCAGATGTCCATGATTATTGTCTTCTTTATCGACGTTTTTGCTAAAACACCAGCAGGCTGCCAAATAGCCAGTGGCCCTTGATGTGCTCCATGATGGCTGCAGTTGTTAGCAATGTTGCAGTGACCATACATCAACCACAACATTCCACATGGACCAACATGAAGAAGGTCACACTTTCGTCACGTGGATTTAAACCAAGAATTCAAAGTGAAATGTCTTTCCACTTATCCAGAGATGCCAACATACTGTTTTAAAAACCTATTTCATACAAACGAGTTTCACTAACTCATCCATCTCATCCATGTTCTCCAGGAGACCCCAGCCTGGGCCCCAAAGGAGAGTGAACCTTGTAGATTCTGACTGTTCAGTCAGACAGTGATGGTGAATGCAGAGATCTGCCACTGGCGGGGCTGTTGCTGTAGGCGTGCGAGTTGTCTCTCTCCCTTTCCTTGTCTTTGCTCTCATGTTTGTGCTTGTGCTTGTGTTTGTGCTTGTGCTTTTTCTTCTTCTTCTTGTGTTCGTGGTGGTGATGATGATGGTGATGGCCATGCTCGCCGGCGTGTTTGGAAGATGAGGAGGTGGTCTCTTTGGAGAATGATGGCACAGGTGTGGCAGGCATGGAGAGAATGGCCTGTTCCACTGACAGAGGTTCTTTACCTGAAAACCAGAAGAATGTGAGTGTGCAATTCTCTCAATGTAGTTCTATTCACCGTCAAACTGGGATTCTGTCTGAAAATAACGCAGTGTGATCTCCTCATTGACAATTACTGCATCTATCCTAACTGATTCCTGACATTGCTGGATGCATTTGTCATAACAAATATGTAACATAACGAGTCATGACAAACTTTACCCAGTTTGCACATTAAATGCAACTCCGTGGAAACACGTTTATTGTAAGTACAAGTATTTCTTCTCCTTTATCTTCACTGCAGTTCTAATAACTTTCCAGGATCTCTTTTTCTGCCATAATTACCACCTCACTGTTGAAAAACACCTCTTCTGTGAAACCTGCATTTGCATCAGGGGTGTTTCTCACCTCGGGGGTTCTTATTACAGCACAATATAGGCTCTGAGGGAAAGCCCAAGGCTTGTTATCAGCTTCTTGCTACTGTTGCATTTTACAAGTGTGACCGTATATTAATACCACCTGGGCCAGCGACACAAAGGTTGCGTGTTGCCTCTTTGGAGCTTTATTTCCTCACGTGTGTACGTATGTGAATAGTTGTTCGCTGGTGTGTTTTGGTGTAAGTCAAACTGACATCACGGCACTGATGGGTTACACTGCAGGCCACTGTGTGCCACGAGTGTGTTTACCTGGTGTAGATGGTCTTTCTAACAAGTTGAGGTGTTGGTGAATGAAAGCCTGGCTGTCGTGGACCGTCTCCATGTCGATATCTTCATCTTCCATGTTGTTGAACTACAACAGAACATGACAAATTACTGGTACCTTAGGAAAATCAACTATCACTGACTAAATTAAATCCTACATCTCTACATGCTCGCTACAGCTCTTCATGAGCTTCAGTCAGTGGTTATTTACCCTGATCTTATAGCGCCCTCCTCTACCATCGTCATCCTGTTGCTGCAGGATTTGTCCTGGCTCTGGTGGGGATCCCAGGGGGGTCTCAGCCTTTCTCTTCAAACTTTGAAGTGGCTGACCAACTCCACAAACACCCAATGAAACAGGATCTGGTTCTTCTTCTACCTAAACACACACAAAGAATATACGATAGGCATATTAATGTAGGTTTGCTAAAAATTATGTTGACATTATATGTAAGTACTTACACTTACACCAAGTCCTGGTTTAATGTGGAATGCACATTGATTAAACTTATCTTTATCTTTATTAGTCATTGTGACACAGCACAGCACACCATGCACAACGAAATTTACCCTCTGCATTTAACCCATCACCAAAGTGAACAGTGGACACATCATATATTTAGCTCACAGAAAAAAAGTACCAGAGCACAACTTTTTTCTAGAATTGTGAGTCATCGCTGACCTCACTCGACCTCTTGTAAAAATAAAAACCTGCTACACTTACAGCTGCATAGCTCATTCCGACACCATGGATACCTATACTGGCAGGTGTATCGATGGCGACACTCATCATTCCCAACTCAGGCTTGATGGTTGGATTGAGCACAGCTTTCTTCTCCTTCAGGTTGAGCACGAGGCCCAGTTCAGGCAGCGGCAGACATGAAGGACGAGTGAGACCAAACAATGTGTAATAGAGGTTTACTGCGTCACAGCGGAGCCGCCAGTCATGAGAAGTGCCTGAGCAGACAGGGAATCAGAAAACAAAGTGTTTTGAGTGTTTGTAGAAGACCAAGCATGCTGGTAAGGATTTCTTTAGTGAATGACTGGTTTATCTAATTCAGACTGATGTGTCACAAAAAGTCAGATTAATTTCTTCTTCTCTTGTGATTCAAGTGTTGCTTTGTCAGTTTTTCTAACTAATGCTCTCCTTCAAACTAAACCACCTAAGAGGACAGGAAGACACTGAACTGCAACAGGAAAACACAACACTGGCTGACTGGTCAGAGTTTGTTTGTAGAGATGCCTTGGCGGTAGAAAGTTGCTGAATTTGCAAGTATCTCAATGAAGTATCAGTCCTGATACCATGTATCTCTAGTCACATGTGCAGCAACAGATGTTAAAAATATTGTAAATGAAAATGCAGTTGCCACTAAAACAATATGAAAGCGTAAGATCAATCAAACACACCACAAAGGGACAGGAGTATAAAACATATTTGTAAAAAAGTAAAAAATAATTAGTTGAGAAGGCAGTTGAAGAAAAGACTGCAGGAGAAAGGAACTCATTAAAGAGTTGATGGAACCCAATGTCTTGTTTAAACATTAACCCTTCCCTGACGTAAGGACCAAATTCCCACCGATACAATAACAGCACAACTAAATTCAAGATAATTAGCTCTCAGTGACACGAGTGTGACCAGAAGCATCATTAAACCGGTCATTTGAGTAGCAGTGTGCGCCGACTTGGACTGTACCAAACATCGTATTTTGCTGAAACTGAAAGCCAGGCGCCTGACATGGGGGGTGGACTGTGGCTTTGGAAGAAAGACTGACATAATTTACTGCAACGGGGGCATAAAGTAATAAGAGTTAGTGTTCTCGCAGCAGTGACCTTCAGCCAGTGAAACATCATCCTGCGAGACAGTGAGGGTTTCAACACGTGGGAGGCCTGTGGGTTATTAAGGGGAGAAGAATCAAAAGCAGCAAATTTTCATAACAGTATTCAAGGTCCCCACATTCTGGTCACTGTGTATTTAAACTAGCAGCATAGTTAGGCTGTCCACTGTCTGACCAACAAACAGAAAGTTCACTGGAAATCATGGTCAGCCCTTGTTTTTTCCTCCATCCATCCAAACTTGTA